TGGAGGAATTATGGACTATGAAGGGACACTAAGCAGAAGTATGATGGCATGAACTGTAGTTCACAGATTGGCCTTGTTGGTATTTCTAAGCAAGGAGCAAATAAAGTGGTGATAATTAGGTGGCTGTGACATAGAAATGGCTATTGTCTCTCCTTGTTTTCACAGACAAGTCACCAACATAAATAACAGGCACAAATTGACTCCTAGTCCTTTTCCTGTTCTGACCTGATGCTGAGGCTCTGTGGGGTCAGTGGGAATATAAATGAATGTGATAGGTTTGGATGAAATGACAGGAAATTAGAGTGTTTGTTTGACAGGTTGGTGAGTGGCTTCATGGTGTGAAATACTGGAAGATGGAAAGAGGGATCAATTGTGAACTCCCAAGGAGACTGGTCAGGTCAAGGACGTGACTTTTTAAGTGGATTGAGTAACTGAGGAAGGGTGAACAGGTGAGAGTAGCTGATTGAAGTGCTGTTTTGTAATTACATTGTTCTAGACATATTATCTGTTTCAGACTAATCAAGGTGGTTTGATTGAAGGAAAGAAAAATATTTGCTCATGTTTTCTTCAGAGATAGTGTTTCATTTTTCAGTGTAAGGTTAATTCCAATTGTTTCAAATGGGTTGGATTTTTTTTTCCTCAACGTATGTGCATAACCTTTACTGTCACTAATGAGAACAGTTTGCATCATGAACCCACCATCCCTTTCAGCCTCTCCCTCTTAAATCATGGTGCATTAGTGCTATTGAATAAAGAATTTTCTGGAAACATTATCCAGCTTGTATATTGTATTGAATCTCTGCTTTCAAGTTCAGCTTTCATACTAATCTGAGTGCTATTTTCTCCATGGAAATTTGGACTTTGGCACTATGCCAGTGTGTTTTGTGCAAGAATGAGAAAGAAAAAAAAATTTACTCAAATTGTAGTAGATTTGCAGTACTTCCAGGTGTGATTTGTGTGTTGGATTGTGCAGAGTGCTGCTGTAGGGGCGATATTGAAACAAACAAACAGGAACTGAATGCTCAGTGGACTTCAATTAATTGCATTTCAATTACAGAGCTAATTAAACAAAGCCAACCAAGGAGGCCTTATTTCATACATCCTGGAATTGTGATCAGCTAATGGTGCATGTTGCATGCAGAGTGAAACTGCTTCTCAGAAAGTGGCACACACTATGCTGAAGAATATGTGACATGCACATATTTAGTAGATAATTACTTTTATGCGGTAGTTTTTACAGCTGTTGAAACAAGGAAGGAATATTCATGTATGCCACGTGTGACACCTGCTCCAGTAAGTAAATAGATTTTTGTAATTAGTGAGACATATTATGAGGGAGAGGTCTTATAAAATAAAGAGAATACTAGTGTTTGGCATATTTTCTGGTACTTTCGGAAGTACAGGTGTGGTGATGGAGTTGTCACTTGTCCCAAAAGAATCTTTTCATACCATGTGATAGAGCAAATCTTATTAAATGCTTATTCAGATACAATCAATAAACTAGAAATCCTCAGTGAATTTTGACATATGTCAGTGATTCTTTTTCTGCAACTGAATGAGAGTAAACAAATGGAATAGGGTAGCCTATAGGATTATTAGTTCAACAGTCAGCAAACTGGCCACACTAATGTTTGTTGCTGCATAATTCTGAAATTATCTTGGGAAGAATCTGTCAGTACAAATGCATTTACCACAAGCAGTGTGTGCACCATGAGTGCTTTAGAGCTACATAAGACAGTAATGGATCAGAAATGCCCTGCAATTGAGTGGAAGCCCAGACCAGTGTCTCTGTCTCAGACAGAAAGTATGCAGTGGATGTTGTTTCTGAAGCTTCTGTCCTAGTCAGGTTTATCCATCATCTTTTTTGCCTCCTTCCACACCGAGGCATCCACTGACAATGTGTAATCTTGGGCTAAGAAACATCTGATTCTTCTTCCCACTCCCAGTCCAACCCCCTCTCTGTAGAGGCTAAAAAAGGAGGCAGGAACAAGGCTGAGGGCAAGGAAGCATTGCTGTTCTAGGCAGGGAACTGAGTCACCAAGACAGAGAATGAACAGTCAGCTGCCAGACAACACAGAGGGACTGAGTCCAACAGACCCCTCTCTCACTGGATCACAGGGTGCTCTGTTCATTTCCCAGCAAAACAAAGTTGGCATACTTGAGGTTTTCTTTTGTTTGCTTTGTAGCCTGCCTTTGGCACAAGCCAGTGGGAAAATACACTTTGGCTTAAACAAAATTCTTTGTACCCTGCTGTTGTATTAGGTCACTCACATGTATTTGGAAGTGGTGAAACAACCTGCAGACAGCTGGGCAAGTCTATCAGGGAATTTGATTTCGGGATGTAACATTTTCATTTGGTTAGTGAATGGACATGGAGAAATGCAAGACAATAATGACATTTCACACAGGAACTAGTTCTGCATCTTCAGATGTTTGGAATACGTTCTTGATGCTCGTGTTTTAAAAATGTGATATAATAGTAGCTATTTTAGAAGAATTATGACATTTAGTCTTAGCTAGCCCTCCACAGTAAAGAAATGCCTGCACAGTTTATAAGGATGTTTAAACAAGTGTTGCCAGTTTTTATGGGTTAGTTAACATTTGATGCTTTCCAACTGAGAAATGCAGTGCAAGTATGCAGAGGTTGCAATGGGAGTTGTCTGGGGTTGAAGTAAAATCATTTCACATCAGAGTTTGGTTTGACCATTTCATTCATCTGCACATGAGTTATAATTAATTTTTAAATGTTAAACAAACTTTGTTCTGAAAGTACCTGCATGTATCTCCCAGGTTCTTAGGCACAATTGAAGCTGTGCCTAATTCTGTGTGTGAATTCTGATGTGGTTTTTCCGTTAGTCTCTGTCTCTTTCAACCATGTTACTGCATAGAGTAGGAAAAAGGCTGGAAAAAAATCCTGTGTAGCATAGGTGTAGAATGCTGAGTGGATCTAGTTTAGATCCTGAAGTGTCCTGCTTGGGATGTAGTACCATGTGCTCTGGTCTGTCTGATGGCTGGTCTGCCAGAAATGGACAAACAATGGTGAGTTTTGAAGAAAATAAATCAGAACTCCTAATTTCTGGATGCCTGTTCAGAGTCAGCAGGGAAGTATTTGGCAGGATAGGGATAGAGCATGGGAAATGCTGTTTATTGAACCCATAATTAATATGAGTTCCTTTAGAAAAGGAAAAACTTCTGAACTTTATTCTTAGTATTAATACTGAGGCTCAACCCTGTGCTGGTAAGCCTGTGATAGATGTGATAGAACTGGATGAAGATAGGATCAGAGCTGATTATAAGCAGGAAAAGAAATTTAATATGGGTAGTGATACAAAATACGAAAGACTGCCTTGTTTTTGAAAGCATAGTTTTGAAAAGATAAAAGATTTTTTTAATGTACTGTGTCAGCTGAAGGAAGTTTTAATGGAAGTTGTTGGGTTTTAACTTATCTATGAAAAATGTGCTGAGTCACTATAGAGCACCTTTGTTTCTAGGTGCCGATCTCTCTTTATCACTTTTTAATGTGCAGGAGCTCAGTGTACAACATTGCTGTGGATATGCTGTTCCCGTGCTGCAGTCTGGAGGAGCCTGCGCCCCCCTGGCTCCCCACCCGCTGGAGGGGACAGCACAGTCTGTCCCAGTGTCGCCCTGTGCTGTGAGACACCGTCGCTCTGCCAGCAGAGAGCAGTGCAGCGCTTCGCCAGGATTTCGGGGGCCATAACTGGAAACATATGTGGGAAACAAAGCAGATGAGTAAGGAGGAATATACACAGAAGCACTGAACATAGAGGCAGACCTGAATGTGAAGGTGGGACAGGGAGGATGCACTCGATGGGGAAAACATGGAGAGTGGAGGTGATTGATTCGTGCAAAGTGGGCATGAAAAGAGGACAGGAAACCCCAAAATACAGACTGTGCTAAAGCAAACTGGACACCTGAAGGATGAAAGTGAAACATCTTGGAATGAGATTGTGACATTCTTGTTACCCTGTGAGCTACAGGAGTGTTACAGTTCCTGGCACTGGGCATGGAGGAAGGACAGGGACCCAAGATGTGCGATGAGTCTGTAGCACTACAGAGCAATATAGGTGTGCTTTTCTGGATTCCAGATCTTAATGCACTTCTTGTAGTGAATTGGAGTGAATTATCCCTGTGTCTGCATGATGATACTAATCTGTGACTAACAGAGGAGAAAGGAAAAAGAACTCACACAGTTATTTTCAAAATGTTGCTCTTGGAGTATATTGTTTCCCATGAAAATATTTTTGCCAGAGTACAGGGGTAGAGGCACAGCTTGTATAGCCTTTATTCCTGACTCTTATATTTGGGGTTTTTTTTCTGAACTAATTTGACACTTCAATAATATATTGTATTGAGATGGTCAGATAAATTTCAGCTGCAGAGGATTGTGTTTCCTACATCTGACTCAAGGAGCAAATCAGAATCCAATAAAAAAGTGTGTGGGGCTGTCACTGTGTTTTAGGAAACAGAGGAAAGGAGAAAAGGAGTCGTCATTTCTTGTAATGGGTACAGCATGTCCACAAATCCAATTTATTAAGGATTTTTTCCTCTATTTATAGCAGAATGTTGAAAGCAAATGCTTTTTTCTCCCCTTCTTCTAGTAGCATCTCCTGAACTCTGTGTAAAATGTCAGTCTGTTATGTAAAATCTGCAGCATTCTAATGGTGCTTTCAGGCTTACTTTTTTTGACCTTTTGAAATCATTACAACCCTCCACCTCCTACAGCCCCTCATTTCTCCTTACTTAATTGCACACAGGAATAGGGAAATAGGAATCCAATTTATTGTTATCCAGGTGGCGTTTCCTGTTACTTAGCTTTATAGTTTTCTGTATAGTAATTAGTATGCAGAAAGCTGGAGAGATGCCTGTAGTTCCAAAATGAACTCTCTGTAGCTCTCTCCCTCCCTTCCTCCCTCCCACTTGCGCTCTCCTTTTGGCACCGCCCCTTCCATGCGCCCTTTAGCCAGCAGCAAGACAGCTGTGTTTGATCATAAACCACTTAAACTCCAGGCTCACTGGAAGGGGAAACTTTAGAGTGAAGTGCAGCATTGGTTTCTCTCGGGGAAGGGAGCTTTCTTCTCTTTTTCTTTCAGCCTCCCCAAATACTGAGGACTATAGCAGCACTCTCCTTTTAATTTCTCTGTGAACTTGTGTGAAGCTCGTCAGATTTTTTTGAGTATGTTCAGCAGCATTGAGAGATGCCCTTTAACAGAGTTGTGGAAAAGAGCAGCATAAAGCAGACAGCAGAGATGAAGCACGCCTTGTAGATGGACTAAGGCAGCCCTGGGATCTTGGTAAGCACTTCATTCCCTGCATTCTCTAAGCACTTCACATTATTAACAAGTCACTCTAAGCAATGGATTGTCTGTGAAGTCAAAACCAGTTTGGCTCTTCTAGAAGATCTTGCATCATTAACTTAAACTCTCAAGGTGAAGTAAAAATGGCTGTCTAGAGCAAAATGTATAAGAGAGAAAAATTTTGGAGAAGAAAGTATTGAATCAGTTGAACAAAGCTTTGAAGCATTACAATCTGCAGAAATCGTCAAGCCCTGAGAAGTCTAATCATGAATTCTGGAGTTGCTATGAAATATGGAAATGAGTCCCCTGCAGAGCTGGGTGAGGTAAGCAGTTTTAGTGCTCTTCTTTACGCTTTAAAAAGAAACATTCCCCATTCGGGCTTTCAGTCTGCAAGCAATGCAATTAAAAATTAATAGAATGTGTATCTTGCTGTAACTTGCTGTGCCAGTCAGGAAATGACCTGAACTTTTCTTCTGCTTTGCTCTGAATGAGTGGTGAAAGGCTAACGATTGCAACCATGTAGAGACATTTTTCCTGTTACCCTGCAGCAGTGACTGCCTTCCCTCCGAGAGCTGTGTTTATACCCAACATTCATCTTTGCAATACGTGAAATATGGAGATCTCAGTTGAGATTAAACAGATGATGATTAATTTAGGAGGGAAGTGGGGTGAGTAGAAAATGACAAAAATTTATTGGTAAGACAATAACATTGACAGAAGTTGTTTTACATGTATTTAGCCAAGGTGATACTGTTTGTTTAGGTTAGATGAATTAGGTTATTTTCCTTCCTTGCCTAAAAGAAAACAAGTCATGAGAAACTTTCTCCTTTTTCACTGGAAACCACAGTCAAGCTGTTATAATTGTGGATATGTTTTAGTGTAACATGATTGTGTATGTTTTTAATAAATTTGAAATTAAAGCCATATCAGATGTTATGCAAATTCTTAATAAATACTTTAGAAGTGGCATACTTTGTCAGTTACTGGAATGTCTTAGATGTGTAATCCTTATGGGCTTTACTGAGAACTGCTAATTTAGTTGTGCTATGAAATCCCAATCATTTGATTAAGGTCATTTTGTAGGAAATTGAATCTGCAGTCTGTCATGTCCCAGTTTAACTGAAGTGCTTCTCTGTTCCTTTTGCCCATTGTTTTGATCCACTATTTACTGTGACATATCTTTTATATGCTTGTTTATTTAAGAATAGAAGAGGCTTGGCAGAATAAGAGAGTTAACAGTTTCTGGGGTTAATTGTATAGAGAAAGGAGACACTGAGTATAGAATGGGAAAATTATATAAGTGGAATAAATCAGTAGGCTAGTGAGGGAGACAACAATGTAGAGGGAAGCACAGTAAATATGTGAGAGTTAAGCAAGTGCTGTACTCTGCCATACTAGAGGACAGTAGGTTTGTGACAGGGAGGTTCTGGCAAAAGAAATGTCATACGTATTTCTCCTTAAAATAAAAATAGTTAAATTTAATTATTTCTGTGTTACTTTTTTCAAAGTATTGCTTAGAAATTCTATATTGGCATTTCAGCATAAGTGGGGTTCATAAATTCAGCATAAAAGCCTGGGTTACTTTTGGTCAGTTTCTGGCTGTGGTTGTACTGATGGTGATTACTATTTTCTACTCCTCAACATTTAATTTTCGAGACTTTTCAAGATAACATAGATCATGGAGTGTCTCAAAGAATTGATATTGGAGTCAATATTTTGAGCAGGTAGTATTTACATTGCTACCTTGAAGTTACTTATACATGTTTCCTTCATGCATTGCCTGAGTAAGACTTTTGTTGTGAGAAATACCTTTTCTTTCTGATGTTTTAACATGGGAGATACTGAAAGGAGTCTGTGACCGTGCAACATTGCCATTGTTTAGGTGGGTTTTCTTCCCCAACAAGCTGTCTTTAGTCCTTAGTTCACATTTGTACTCCAGTGCTACAGGTGTGTTAGAGATATAGCAGAGAAGGCGATAAAACTCCTGGCTTTCCCCAGCTGCTTATCATCATTTGCTTGCTGCTCATCTTCATCTTTGCAGTTTGAACTGCTTGTGTTAGTGAACCTTAGCCCAAGAAGGACTGGGTCAGGTTCAGCAGTGATCTTGGGTAAAACACTGGATTTTCAGTAAAACATGGAAGCCTTGCAGAAACATCATATTCCACCTCTCTAGGGAAGAAGATGCCTAAGAACTCTTAGGCATCTCTTCTGAGATGTTGATAGCTGCTCATCCCTAATTGTTAATTTCTTAAACAGCTCTCTGTAATATGCTTCTATTAGACCTTTCTATCTTGGTGACTGGTACTAGCTGTAATGGAAGTTAAAACATCCTGGGTAAAGGTTGTACCTATGGTTTATGTATCTGTATTTTCCCCATCTTTGTTGTGCTCTTCTCCTTCCTTTCTGACTCTGTCTTCTGTACACCATGTTTATTTTTGATCAATGAAGGACAGTAGTCACATAGTGTTCATTTAAATGATGGAAAAATGGCTACAGCAGGAATTTGAATAAATGGCTGATGTCTTAGTTTGTCTTCACCTGCACCTCTGTCTCTACAGACAGCTCATGTGCTGATATTACAGTGGGTTGCTACTGCTATACATATCTGAATGGTAATTCGGTAACAGACCAAGTACAGACAGTACTAAGATTCACATGATGCACAGTGGGTTTTTGTGTAGCTGCCTTGATCTTTTTATCTCAGTATGTGGAGCTCTAGGCATGAAACTACTGTTATTAAAATAAACAGGAAAGCTACAAAGCCCTGAATAATATAATACATGCATTCTTGACTGGATACATTAGACAAAAAAGAAAATACATGTATTGCAATTCATTCCATCTGTATTAGAACTTTCTACCTGAGATTTACATCTCTCTTTGGTAAGAATTAAAGGATATGTTTCTTGTCCAAGACACAGTGTGATTGTAGAAACTTGTGTATAGTTGATGTTTGCTATTCCTAAACTCTTGTCCAGGTAAACAGGGATCTTGATAGTCTTTATTTACTCACTTGCCACTATCCGAAGGTCATGCAGAAAGCAGATAAAAAAAAAAATCTGATTTCTGTTTTAAGTCATTCAGACCTCCACAAAACTTACGCTCTGTGGTTCCCTAGCTCCAGAGTTCAAACTGTTTTGTTGTTGAAACATGTCAGTTCATGTTACCCAATTTCTTCTGCTCTTCTTTGCCTTCAAGTTTCAAGTGCAAAGAAAGAAAGATTATCCAGTTTGCTGTTTTATGGTGGATTTGTCATGTTGTATCTGCCTAGAGAGTTAGAAGAAACCTTGTCCTTACATAGCAAGGTGGTGTTAGGCTTGTTGTTTTGTTTGGTTCAGGGTTTCTTTGATATATATATAAGAGATAGTAAGAGAGGCAACACTGCTATGTAGTCTGTGAGGATCTACAGGAACCTGTGGTACCTTTGTAAATAGGTAACAGTAGTCAAAAAAGCTCTGTTCTACTATTCTGAAATGGGCCTTCTAACATGATTTGCAGAGATTGCCTTTAAGGCTTGAATCAAGGAGGATGTGATTTTTTATGCATAACTTAATACCCAAATTATGAAAGCTCTCATTGGTTCCCTTCAACTTCTTACTCATACAATTTTGAAAGCCTTTGTTGTAAACACAAAGCATATTTTTACAGCCAGCATAATGAATTTTACTGAAAGCATGTACAGGTTAACAGTGGGGTGCCCATAATTGCAGACAGTTTTATACATCATTAAAAATGAAACTTTGTATCAGAATGTAAATGCTTTGTACCTATTAAATTGTCTGTCCGCAGAAAGAGGTGTTCATCTAGAAGGAGGTAGATTGTCTAATCTGTATTTTCTTCCAAATTCAAAGACACTACCTGGCTTTAAACCCCAGCATTCAGAGGAGGTATCCCTTACATACTAACACGGATCTTACCTGTTCCCCTGCCCATTCACTGTGAAGATGCTGTGCTGAAATAGAGCTGTTTGAACTGGTATACCTGTTGGGCTGAATGTGGCCAGCAGTTATGCCTGGGCCTAATGATGGGACAGTTAATATTATTAGTGCAGGAATGTGAAGGAGATATTACTTGTAGGGCTTAATGATATTTTTCTCAAATGCAGACTAAAGAGATAAATTTTATCCTTGAATTAAAAGCCAAGCTATGTTCTTTGCTATAATTTTCATTAAGTGAGCCTTCTGAATTTGCTGGTAGTAAGACTGTGCCTAAGAGATTTTGTAATGATGTAAGGGCTTGTATTATAGTAAAGCAATATGTTTGGCATTACAGCTGATTTGTATAATGTTGCTATTTATTCTGTTCTTCTAGCACTTGCTGCATGCATTGAGATGTGTAACATCTGAAAAGTTTATTTTATTTTTTTTTATGGCAAAATTAGGAGATAGCATGCTGCTTTAGGTGCACACTTTATACCTCCTGGTTTTGATGTTTGGAGGTCAGGTGTTTAGGATACAGATGTTGTAAGTGACAGCATTAGCTACAGCTTCATATTCTCTAACCCTTCAACATTGACTGGAATAAATAGATGGGCTGTTTGTCTTGGAAAAATTCCTTACTTTTTGGTTTGTTTCAACAACAAGGTGTTTAAAATTTAGGGGAGGAGAAGGAAGGCTTCAAAGCTGGTGTTTGTAGGAAGCAGAAAAATGAATTCATACAAATGATTTCACCAAAATCTTACATGTGAAGAAAGGACCAAGTCTGAAAGGCTTAAATTCTGACTTTTTAGTAATTTTACAGTAGGACAATATTGCACTTCCTTCTCAGATTTGTATTCCACTGCTGCTCTACTTATAAACTAGACTCTGACAAAGAACATTGTAGAAGGAGAATTGCAGAAATAAGAGGGGCTGCATGGCTTGAAGTCATGTACACAAGTCCAGTGAGTGTGAGGGAGCTGTGGGGTGAGGTGGGTAATCAGCAGAGGAGCAGGACATCACTCAAAGCCTCCCTGGCAGAGGAAGAGTTCAGAAGGGACCATCCCCACCCTGAGGTACTTTCCCATGTGTGCCTCTGTTCCTGTAGAACAGGTGTCAGCTTGTGCTGTCACCATACCTAGGTGTGGGGAAAGAGCATTGATGGAATGAGGAAGAGGTTTTTTATGTGTTCCAGGGTAGGATTAAATCCCAAACACTTTTTTTATCTTCCTGAGCTTGATAGTCTTCCAAGAAAATCAGTGAGCAAATAGCACCCTAATACTTGATCTGCTTCCTGAATGATCCCTGGTCATGTAGCGAATGTGCCAGGGTATTTCCAATACCTCTCATGAGCAGGTAAACACCATATTCTACTGCAATTCCATCTCTGCTACAGGCTATAGCCT